CTCAGACGGGCACCGTGAGCTGGAATGGGAGTTGCGGGCGCCATCTGCGCCCGGGCCCCGCGGAGGACTGAGGTGGGGGGTGGCGAAGGCCGGGGGTCCGTGGGCCTGGGGAGACCGTGGAAGCTAGGGAGACAGGAGGGTAGCAGGGCTCTGGCCCACTTGGAGATCCGGGCCTGGAGGTGCAGGGGCTGGGACAGACAGCCCAGGGGGGTGACTTGGCGCCGGGACACAAAGGCATAGAATGTCGCTGAGACCAGAAGAGCTGGCAGGGGACAGCAGGGGGCGAGACAGAAGACAGTGAGTAGAGAGGGCAAAATGGGGATGGGTCAGTTGGGAGGCGGACTGGGACTGGGACTGGGGGACAGGCGGGGAGCGGGCTCAGAGTGGGTAGTGAGGAGGCTCAGAGCGGAGCAGGAGCCCGGCAGGACGGAAGGGGAAGTGGGACTCTGTGATGACAGGGCGACATGTGGAAGACTGGCGGGCAGTGCAGAAGAACGCTGGGAGAAGTGGCCCACGCGGCCCCTCCCCCTGTTTGGGGTACCCAGACAGCCCGCGCCTCCCTCCCACGCAGGAGGCCGCGCTGAAGGCCTTGGGGACCGAAGGCCTCTTTCTCTTCTCCTCCTTGGATGCTGACCGGGACATGTACATCAGCCCCGAGGAGTTCAAGCCCATCGCCGAGAAGCTGACAGGTACGGGAGGAAGGGCACCGCCCTCAGCCTCTGGCCTCTTAGTCCGCGCTTAGGAGAGCCACCTAGAGTGGAGGGTATCCCGGTTCTGTCACTTTCTAGCGGGCGGTTTGGAGGCGCTACTTGAGTGAGTGCGCATGCGCGCGCGTGCTTGCCAACCTGCTGTGGGAGCGTGGTACCAGGTGACGTGCCCTGACCGCCTCAGCCCCAGACATCGGTCTTGGCAACTCATGTGGACTGTCTCTAAGCTCCACAATGCTCTGTGAGACGGACACTGTAGCACGGGAAGCCTCACCAGCGTGTCCAGGCGCCAGGGTCAGAGCCAGGACTAGAACCCTGGCCGGGATGCGGATACCTCCCAGAGTGACCCTTGTGCAGGAGACCGTCGATAGACAGGAGCTGTTACTGTTGTGCTGAACACTGCCTGGGTGCTGTCAGACCTCTGTGCATTCTTGCTTTTTCTTCGCTATTTGTAATCAGTGGTTTTTTATTCTTTCTATTTTTGGTAAAGATGAGGAGCTAGGGCATTCTATGCTTCTCTTATCACCCCCATTGCAACCCAGTACCCACCTCCCTTCAGCTTCCCGTGACATTCCTTGAACTCATGCTCTTGGGCACCTACCAGTTTCCCAAATTGCCTGGCATCAGTAAGTCAATAGATGGGAAAGGTGAGGCGGTGCCTGCCCGCCTCCTGGGGAGAGGGGTGGGAGAGGCCATGTGATGGGCTCTCCGTGTCTCCGGGGGCAGTGGGGGGTCAGCCACTCACTGGCCTGGCAGCCTGTGGTCACTGCCAGAAGAGGAGGGTAGATAAGAAATGCTGATTTGGGCAGCGTCTCGGCTAGGGGGCTAGTCAGTTCTGTCTGAAAACAGGGCTGGTAAACCAGCCACCCCCAGTTTCACTCTTGCCTCTTCAGCCCACGCTTCTCAGGACCACCTCCCTGCGCTTTTCACGGCCAGAGAGCAAGATTTCCCTCATAAGGCGTGTCAGCCAAGCTTAGGGACACGCCAGTCTTTATGCCACATCTTTTGTCTCCACCAGGGGAAAATAAACCCCCCCTCCATCACCTCCTAGGCACCATGAGTGCAAAATTAGAACAATACATGAAACAAAACTAAACAACATCAGCTTGAGGCAAACAGCCTCGAGTTGGCACAGTTATGAGTATGTTTGATTTCAGGGTTCTCGCGACTGTCTCTAATGAGCAAACATTACTTATAAGTCAGAGAATAAAACGTTTTATGAAAAAACTAAAAGGCAGGCCCTCCCTGGCATGCAGTGGGTTAAAGCACTGCACTAAGAAGCTAAAGCCACTTCAGCATGAGTTCGATCCCCGCCTGCCCCGGAGGAGATCCACAAAGGAGATCCACAAGGCGCAGCAGACCTCTCCTGACCCGCCCCTGCTCCCCTCAGCAGTGTACTTCGTGATCTGCCTGTTCTGCTCCCCACTCTGTCTCTGGTAAATCCACTCACCGCCCCTGCACCTCTGGCCTGTACCCCAGCTCTGTATGCATAAATAAATCTTTAAAAAAATTTTTTTAATTAAAATATACACAGTAATATATACTGTGATTATATGTAACATAGAAGTATAGGCTATGCATGAAATAATGGTGGGCATTCTTAGTAGAAATTACCTGAGATAACAGTATAATACCCAGATAAGCAAGCAGACTAATTGACCGTACGCTCCCAGGCCCCCTCCGAGGGCTCTCTGGGCTTCCTGGATCGAGGTGCTGACTTACAGATGCAGAAATGACAGGACTCTAGACTGGGCTTCACCCCCCTGAGCCCCAGGGGAGGCCGCACGGAAAGGGCCGGTGCTGACCTGCCGCTTGGGATTCTAGGCTGGGAACATGGGCTCTTGAGCCTGTGTTTTGTTTTGTTTTGTTTTTTAGATATTTTACTTCTTTATTTTTTTAAGATTTATTTATTTACTCTTACAGAACTGGGGTATAGGCCATAGGTGTGGTAGGTGAGAGGATTCATCAGACAGTGGGGCAGTGGGGAACAGAACAGGCTGACTGTACACTGCTGAGGGGAGCAGCGGGCAGCGGGTCAGGAGAAGTCTGCTGGGCCACATGGGTTAGCTCCCTGACTGGGGATCGAACTCGTGCTGCAGTCGCTTTGGAGAGCTTCATAATGCGGTGCTTTATTTTAACCTGTGGTACGACCAGGGAGAGCCCATCCTGAGCCTGTCTTTTAAAAGACCTCATGGACCCTCTGATGTCCCCTGTTAAGGCCTGCTCACGTCCACCTATTCTGTCTGTCCTTCCGTAACTAACTGCCAGGGTAGGGAAAGCAGGCATGCCAGAACACCCCTCTATTCCATCATCCGTATCTGGGCACGGCCCCCTATCCGTCACCCTTTTGGAAACTGGCTCCACTTTTTCCTTCAACCTTCGCAGTGGGGCCCTCCACACTGGCCTCAGCAGGTACCTGAGTGGGAAGAGATGGAGAGAGCGTTCAGCCACTGCCGGTCCAGTCCTTCCTCAGACAGATGGGGAAACAGGGTTGCCCAGAAAAGCAGGGAAAATCAGACCCCCTCACTCCTGACCCAGGGAGGACTTGCTTCTATCCACTGCTCTGAACCCACCGTTTCTGGGACCCATGTTTGTTTTTCACGAGACGACTGCCCCCCAACTCCCTGTGACAGGGACATGCATGGTGGCATGGTCTCGATTTCCCTCGATTTCCCATAGGACAACCAAGAGACTGAGTGATTTTTCCCCAGTTATCCAGGAAATGGCGCACCCCGCTCTCTGCTCTCCAAGCCCAAGTGTCCTGTCTCTGGTGCGGGCAGAGACAGCACCTGCTGCAGGCCGCCTGGACTCAGTGTGGAGAACAGAGGGAAGGAGACAGTGAGAAGGGCCTGCTGCAGCCAGCCTGGCTGGGGAAAGAGCGCAGGTTGGCGCCCCAGCTCTGTGGCTCCCTCTCCGGTAGCAGGAAGGCAGCCAAAGTTTATTATGGGGCTCCCTGTAGCAGCCAGGTACTGGCCAGGATGGTCTCATTTAACCCTCAGACCAAGCTGTCATCGCACAGCTGGTGAGGGTGAGGCTGGGATGTGAACCCAGGTCATCAGAGCCTTTGAGGAAACTGAGACTAAGATCTTCGATTCAAACAAGGTGCTAGATTCAAACAAGCCTGGGTTCAAAGCCTGACTCCCCTGCTACCTGCCTGGCTGTGTGACCTTGGGAAAGCGACTTCACCTCTCTGAGCCTCCACTTTCTGCCTTGTAGAAGAGCATTGGTGATAATGGTATCATCTGCCTCACAGGCCTGCTGCAAAGCTAAAATGTGGCATGTGTTGGAGGTCGCTTGGGTGCTGAACCGCTACCCGCCTCCAGGCCGGCCCCTGATCACGGCCAGCATGGACGTCCTGAGCAGTGAGGCCTGCAGCCTGAGGGCGGGCCCCTCTCAGCCTCTGGTCTCACAGGGTCCACGCCTGTGGGCAGCTACGAGGAGGAGGAGGAGCTGCCCCCTGACCCCAGCGAGGAGACGCTCACCGTAGAAGCCCGATTCCAGCCTCTGCTCCTGGAGTCCATGACCAAGAGCAAAAACGGGTTCCTTGGGGTGAGTTGGGGTAGAGAAGGCAGGGTCCCCACTGCGGGACCACAGACCCGAGGAGCAGCTGCGCTGTTTATCCTCCCTCGGCCACCCCTGAGCACCCAACATGCCGGCCCAGAGGGCCTGCGGCCATGTCCCGATGCCCCTGCACAGTGTGCTGGGGAGGCAGGAAGACAAGGGCAAGCCTCTCAGCCACATCGGGGTCTGGGGGGCATCCTGGAGGGGTGACATCTCAGCCACGGAGGGAGGCGGGGCTCCGGGCCCGTGCGGGGCAAGCAGGCTCTGGCTGGAAGGGCACAGGGACGTGTGGATGCTGCCGCCTCGTCGCCACCTCTGTCCTCTGTGCTTTGTGCCAGTCAGTCTGGCCCCCTCAGGCTCCAGGTTCCTTGAGAGCAAGGCCCGTGACTCGCACATCTGTGCACCCAGGGCCCTGGGCAAGCCTGGCGCCCGCCAGGCTTCTGTTGAACTCTGACCCACCCAGACCTGAGGCGCAGCTCTGGCAGGGGCCTGGGGTGGAGAGGGCCCCTCTGAGGCCCGTGGGAAGGCCTGGAGCCCACGGCTGGACCTAGGCCCTAGCCAGCCTCCTTCCTCCATCCATCCACTCCTGGTTTCTCCCCGCTGTGAACCTCTCGCCTGCTGTTCCCTCACCCAGAGACAACTCCCACTTTGCCCGGCCCATCCCTGCTCTGCCTTATGTCTCAGCTGATGCGTCAAGCACAGAGATGGCGGAACCGAGCCTGGCCAGGACTGTGGTGGGTGTGGCTGGACCAGGGCGTGGGGGACCCAGGCTGTCTGACAGCAGGGCTGGCAGAGAAGACACCAGAACGCAAGGGCCTTGGTCCTCCAGCAGCAAAACAACATGGCAGATTTTTAAGTGGGGGGTGGGAGGTGGGGGGCTTTCCACTCTGCTTTCCAGACGGACAGCTGTGGAGAACTGGGAGGGAAGAGCAGTCCCGGGGAGGGCAGCAGGGATGCAGGGAGGAAGGACAGCCCTGAGGGGCCTGAGGAGGGAGAGCGGTGCGGCTGCTGCTGGAGGGGGGGCTCAGGGCTCAGGCTGGTGAGGGGTGCGTGGTGGGCAAGTGCCCGGCGGGGGCTGGAGGAAGGCAGCCAGGCTGGTGAGGAGGAAAGGAGGCTAGTTTGGGCGAGGCTGAGGGACACGGGGCAGAGCTCTGGGAGGGCTGGAAACTGCGAGTCCCGGTCAGCCCAGGCTGTCGGCCCAGGCGCCAAGAAGAGCCCGCAGGTCAGCCACGGCCAGAGGCCCTCGGGGCTTCTCCCTGCCTTCCTCCATCCCTCCCTCCCTCCCTCCCAGCCTTCTCCCCAAGGGCTCCCGAAATGGCGCTGCCTCCCAGAGATAAACTCTGGCTTTGCCAGGACAGTGCCAGCCTGGCCAGCACCGGGCAAGAAACTCCCCAGCCTTTGCCCCTTGGCTGTGGCCTGGCTCCGGGCTGGAGGCCTCCTCCCAGGCTTGGGACAGGGGACCCCAAATTCATGGTCTGTGCCTCCAGCTTCAACTTTCCCCTGCTCCAGGTCTCCCGCCTGGCCCTCTCCGGCCTCCAAAACTGGACCACCGCAGCCTCACCCAGCGCGGTGTTCGCTGCCCGCCACTTCCGGCCCTTCCTCCCTCCTCGCGGCCAGGTGGAGCTGGGCCAGCCCTGGTGGATCATCCCCAGCGAGCTCAGCATCTTCACTGGCTACTTGCCCAACAACCGCTTCTACCCGCCGCCACCCAAGGGCAAGGAGGTGAGGCAGCCCGGCCCCCAGCCGGCACCTAGACCCCAGTGCCAGGCCTGCCCCTCCCTTGGGGTCCACCTGCCTGGGCCCTGGGCCTGCAGGCACAGTGGTGCTCCCCCAGAGGTTCAGCAGCCCTGACCCCACTTCCTTCCCCAGGTCATCATCCACCGACTCCTGAGTATGTTCCACCCTCGGCCCTTCGTGAAGACGCGCTTTGCCCCTCAGGGGGCCGTCGCCTGCCTGACCGCCGTCAGCGACTTCTACTACACCGTGATGTTCCGGTGAGCCTCACAGCCGGGCTGGGCCTCCACAGCGGGCCTGGGGCAAGCAGCTTTGGCTCTCAAGCCTCAGTTTCCTCCACAGTGGGTCAGGTGGTGGTGACCTAGGAGGATGAGGAAGGGCGTGGCACGTGCCCAGCTCAGGGCCGTGGCCGTGACTGTGTCATCTGCACAGACAGGGTGTGGAAGAGCTGTGACACCAGCCACCACCCCCTCTAGGCCGTCAGCCAGGGCCCCAGGGGAGGGCTGAGGCCCGGCGCTGCCTGGTGGGCCTCAGAGCTCCCTGCCCCACCTTTCCCTTGTTCCTTTCAGCCCCTTCGCCACACACCTGGCCCAGGATTCCCAGGGTTTTGCAGCTCTGGGTCAGAGGGGGCCTCTTCCAGACAAACCCTTCCCCCCACAGGATCCATGCGGAGTTCCAGCTCAGCGAGCCCCCCAACTTCCCCTTCTGGTTCTCGCCTGCCCAGTTCACAGGTCACATCATCCTCTCCAAAGATGCCACCCACGTCCGTGACTTCCGGCTCTTCGTGCCCAACCACAGGTGGGAGCCCAGCCTGAGCCCTACCACCACTTGCCTCTTTGCCCAGGTCCGGGAGCTCTGGAACAAGGGCCCAGAGGCCCCCTCAGTCTGCCCCTGCCTTTGCCAACTTAGGAGGGGCCAGGACTGACCCCCCGGGAGGAGGCAGCTTGAAGCAGGCTGCTGGGTCGGGGCTACGGGGGAGTCATTCCATCCCCTGACAACTGTCCCAACGGCAGGGTGGGCCTGGCCTGCCGACTCCCTGCTGGGCCCAGCAGATCCCGCAGCTGCAGCCTCTCTGCGCCCACTCTGCTGCCCTCCCACAGGCCCGTGGCTACAGCCCGCTCAGGCCCGGAAAGGCTCACAGGTGGGCAGGCGCCGGCTGGCCAGGGCCCGGGAACACTTCCTGAGGAAGGACTGGTCAAGCTGAGGCCTGGGGTGAGGAGACAGCCAGAGTCCTCGGCAGAGTGGACAGCACACGCGAAGCCCGGGGGCAGGCATTCCCGGGCACTGTGGAGCCTGGAGGGGCGGGAGATGGTCCAGAACAGCTCTGCCGTCTTGTCCAGGGTGCAGCCAGTGCGGGGCCTCGGGTCTTAGGAGAGTGTCCCCTGACTGCAAGTGGCCAGTTAGCAGCCCCGAGGGACAGGACCAGGGCTGGGACCCAGGAGGTCCAGTGAGTGCTCAGCTGTGGTGCCAGGGGCTACATGGCCCTGGGGCTGTGTCGTCATCTGCTGGGTGGGAGACTGCTCCTGGGCAGGGCCTAGCGGAGGGTAGGAGTCCGGGAGCACCCAGGGCCACTGGGAAAACAAGGGGGGACCCTTCCCGCAGCAAGCACGCCTGTGCTCACGTGCCCAGCCGGCACCTCTCCTCCACCCCGGGGGTGAGGCTGGGGGTCCTAGGCTAGATGAAACAGGAGATGACCCGCCCAGGAACCAGGCCACAGGGTCTGCTGACCCCCTGTGAGGACACCAGCTCACCCCGCCCTGCTTGTCCTGGGTGTCAGTCCTGGGGCGCCCCCATGTGGTGATCCGCAGGCATCTGCCTTCTGGGAGGGAGCAGAGGCCTTTCACTGCGGGCGGGCAGCCCAACCACCTCTGAGACACAGGGCCGGGCCAGTGGAGTGGGGTGGCCGCCTGCCTCAGGAAGTAGCAGCCTGGGGAGACAAGTTCTGGGACCATGGACCAGCAGCTTGGAGACTTGGGGTCCACCTGGCCACATCTAGTGGGGTCAGTTGTGCCCTTTCAGAGAAAGCCTCACATGTGGTCACAGGTCTTGATGGTGGTGGTGTCCTGCTCCCCCACCCCGCCCCCAGGTCTCTGAACGTGGACATGGAGTGGCTGTACGGAGCCAGTGAGAGCAGCAACATGGAGGTGGACATCGGCTACGTGCCCCAGGTGAACGAGTGCTCAGGTGCTCCTGGCCAGTGGAAAGGCAGGGCCCAGCTGCAGGCCCGACACGTGCTCAAGTCTGGCATCAGGGCGGGTCCTGCTGGCTGGCAGCTCACAGCACCCAGGGCGAGGGCCAGCGCCTGGCAGGCTGAGGCCAGATACCCCAAAAGCAGGATTCTGGGATGCCGCCAGCTCCTGCACGCACCACTCGGCGCCCACAGGGGCCCTCGGAGCCATGTAGCAGCATCTCGGTCTGGTGCTGGGTCTGTCCCGCACTCGCTGCCCAGTCTTGACCACGCCCTCCTTCCCCCCTGGGATTCGAAGCCCCACCGCCGCCGGTGGGTGTCTCTGAGGTCTGCTCAGGGCCCCAGGGGGTCTTGGCTTTCTCTGAGGCTGCCCTCACTAGTGTCACCCCTTGCTGACCTCTGGCCCAGATGGAGCTGGAGGCCACAGGCCCCTCCGTGCCCTCTGTGATCCTGGATGAGGATGGCAACATGATCGACAGTCGTCTGCCCTCGGGGGAGCCCCTCCAGTTTGTGTTTGAAGAGATCAAGTGGCAGCAGGAGCTGAGCTGGGAGGAGGCTGCCCGGCGCCTGGAGGTGGCCATGTACCCTTTCAAGAAGGTGAGGCTGCCAGGGACAGGGGCCAAGTCCGGCCCTGTGCTGCTGCGGCCGGCAGCTGTGGGGGCAGGTGGCACAGGGTGCTGGGCTGTGGGGCCTTGCTGCCGAGGCTGCTTCCCCACAGGACCCAGCCTGCAACACCTCCACCCCCCGCCCCCACACACTCTGCAGGCATGCGTGCACTATGTAGTTACACAATGCACTGCAGGCGTGTGCACACGCTGTTAATGTGTGCGTGCCTCGTGCATGCACCGGCCACGTGTATGGTGCGCCCGTGTGCGAACACGTGCAGTCACGTGCGCTCACAACATCACACGCTCCGTGCACACACACTGCACGCTCCGTGCACCCTGCCGCATGCACACCCGGTACACTCAGGGCCAGACGCCACCCCGGTCACGTACAGGAGCTTCTCTGTCTCGGCTTGGCCCCAGGTCACTTACCTGCCGTTTACCGAGGCCTTTGACCAAGCCAAGGCCAAGAACAAGCTGGTGCACTCGATCCTGCTGTGGGGCGCCCTGGACGACCAGTCCTGCTGAGGTGAGGGGACCTGTGGCCTCGGGAGGAGGGAGGAAACGTCACACCTTGCGGGGCGCAGGGGGCTCCATGAGCAACAGCACAGTGCTGCCAGGGAAGACCTGGGCGGGGCCCGGCGAGGGCACAGGAGTCCGCACTGAGCCCAAAGAAGCTGCTGGATAAAGCGGGGCCGGCTCAGCCAGATGACCCCAGGTGTGTTGTCTAAACCTGCCGCCTGGAACAATGGATGAGAAAGTGCCCCGTGCTCTGTAAAGTGTCCGCCCAAGTGAGAGAAAGTGCTCGGGGCTGGACTTCCAGCCACTTGTTCAGAAATGCACTGCAGACCGGCTGGGGGGTCCTCCGGGTGCCCAGCAGCAAGTCCAGAAATGACAAAAACAGTGCCCTGCCCTCACCTAGTCAATCAGCAAATGCCCTGCCAGGCCATGGGCTGGGTCAGAAAGTCAGGGAGGCTTCTGTCCTCTGGGGGTGCGCAGTGGAAATGAGTAAATGCCAGTGTGGAGCATGGGGCACAGTCAGGGTGGCGTGAGTGGTGACCGGGGGTCCAGAGGGCTTTTGAGAAAGACACTGAAGCTGAGACTTGAAGGAGTTTGTTAAGGGTTAAGAGGAAGAAATAGAAGATAGAAGAACAGTCAAGATGGAAGAACAGTCTGTGCAAGGCCCTGGGGCATGTTGGATCTAAGAAACTATCACATCTGCAAGTCCCTGAGCCAGGTGGACCCACAGTCCGCTCAGCCGGATGCCACTTGGGGCTAGTGACTGCTGCCACGTGATCCGCACCTGCTCTGGCAGCTTTTGAATCTGGCGCCCAGCTGAGTGCACAGGCCACTCGGCGGTCCCTGATGGTTACAGCTGATTGAAGCCCAGAGAGACATGTAGGGGTGCCTCACTCTTCTGGGCCTGCCTCTCCCCGAACAGGTTCAGGGCGAACTCTCCGGGAGACGGTCCTGGAAAGTTCGCCCATCCTCGCCCTCCTCAATGAGAGCTTCATTAGCACTTGGTCCCTGGTGAAGGAGCTGGAAGACCTGCAGGTGAGTGGCAGGTGGATGGGAACAGCCCCCACAGGCATCCCTGGGGTGGTGCGGGGGGCCAGAGCATCAGGAGTATCTGTCCCCACAGAACAACCAGGAGAACCCCGCCCACCAGGAGCTGGCTGGCCTGCACCTGGAGAAGTACAGCTTCCCCGTGGAGATGATGATCTGCCTGCCCAACGGCACCGTGGTAGGCGCCCACTGCCGGACCCGGCGGGGGAAGCGGGGCCCGGGCTGCAGCCCCCCGGTCCTGCGGGCCTGGCTCTCCCTTGTCTGGTTGCTCCCTTGGCCGGGCTGAGCCTCCACTATGCGTCTCCCGAGCAGGACCCTGCCTGCGTCAGGGGGCTTCTCGTAGGAACCAGTCCAGTCTCGCCGCAGAGGAGGCAGGAGCATGGCCTGGAAGGGACGGCTCCCCTCGGATATTATTTTTCTTAATTACTTATTTATGCACACAAGAACTGGGGTGCAAGCCAGCGGTGGGAGGGTGAGAGGCTCCACCAGAGACAGAGTGGGGAGCAGAACAGGCAGATTGACTGAAATAGGCTGCCGAGGGGAGCAGTGGGCGGGTCCAGGGAGGTCTGCCGCGCCATGTGGGTCACCCCCGGGGCGGGGATCGAACTTGTGCTCAGTGGCTGCGGCCACTTCAGAGTGCTGCATTAGGACCCATGCTGAGCCAGGCTTCCTCCCCTCCCCTAAGGCCCTTGCTTGGCATGGGCTCCCTCCCGGTGGACTCACCGTTGCTGCGGGAGATGGGTGGTCACAAACACCCACTTTACAAACAAGGACACTGGGGCTCAAGAGGCTCAGCACTGAGATGTGGCCAGCTCTGAAGCAGGCTGCCCAGGCCCCCAGCAGCTCCTGCTCTTTTTTTTTTTTTTCTTAAGTTCTATTTATTTATGTATACAGAACTGGGGTACAAGCCAGAGGTGCAGGGGCAGTGAGAGGATTCACCAGAGACAGAATGGGGAGCAGAACAGGCAGATCAACGAAGTACACTGCTGAGGGGAGCAGCGGGCGGGTCAGGAGAGGTCTGCCGCGCCCTGTGGTCACCTCCGGGGCAGGCGGGGATCGAACTTGTGCTGCAGTGGCGTTAGCTTCTCAGTGCTGTGCTCTAACCCACTGCGCCACCGCCTGCTCTTTTAATCCAAACTGCCCCTTGCCCTTTAAGTCCCAAGGAGTGGTTGATTCTACGGGACTTGGGCTGGGGGGTCAGCAGCTCCCCGGGCCCCTGGGAGGGCTGAGGTCAAGGACAAGGCACCAGCCAGGGAGGAGAGCCTGGGGGAGAGCCGGCCAGCACGCACCCCTCCACTGGCACCACTGTGGGGGACCAGGCCCCACAGGGCCCCAGGTTATAGAGCTGGGCGACCGGGGTCTGCGGGGGCGGGGAGGCGCTGAGTCTGGATTCGCTTGTTGCTTTCCTGGGCGCTGCGCTGCAGGCAGTTGGAGCCATGGCGCGCACGGGTGTTTAGGCAGAAGGGCCGGGTGGGCTGGGGAGAGAGTACAGCAGCATTTACAGGCGCGGAGAAGCTTATAGTCAAAGGGCCCTGGGTGAGCAGCGGCAGGAGAGGGCCAGCCTGGCCTGGGCTCAGGCCCGGCGAGTCCGCTGGCTGCCCCGCCTGCTTAGGCCCGTGTCCCAGGAGTACGCGAGTGCGTGCTTGGGAGCAGAGGACGCCCTGAGCTGAGCGCAGCCCACTCTCCTCGCCCAACCCTCCTCCAGGTCCACCACATCAACGCCAACTACTTCTTGGACATCACCTCCATGAAGCCCGAGGACGTCGAGAACAACGTCTTCAGCTTCTCGTCCACCTTTGAAGACCCGTCCACGGCCACCTACCTGCAGTTTCTGAAGGAGGGGCTTCAGCGTGGCTTGCCCCTCCTCCAGCCCTAGCGTGCCGCAGTGAGGAGCCGGTAGGGAGCTGGGAGATGGACCGTCGCCCAGAGCCAGTGTCCACCACACATTCAGACTCCAGATCCCCACCGCCCCCGCCGTCTGGGGGGTCATGGCCACCCTAGCTCTGCCACCACCCACCTTTTACCACCCACCTGGCTCCGGAAGCTGCCTAGGACCCCTCCCAAACAGGGCCTGGGTCATCTCCCTGGACCTCACCCACTCAGGAGCATAGTCCAGATCCTTCCGCGGGGTGAACAGCAGGGAGAGAGGGTGCTCGGAAGGCACAGACACCCCTCTCTCTTTACTGCACTTCCCGAAGAAAACATCAAGAATCCCTGCCCTGAGGCAGGGGGCAGGGTCTCGGGAGGGGGCTGCCAGCAAACACTCCTATTTATCTGGAACCTTCTTCCCCGCTACAGCCCTGGCTGTTCTGCCTCAGTGGCGCCCCCCCGCAGGTCAGTCAGCAGAGAACCTTCCAGGGGCTGACCCTTCTGGGCAGAACCTTCCTTCAGGGGGTATTGCACTACCCCAGGGGCTCCCCAAACCGCTCAACCCACCCAGTGACAGGGCCCCAGAATCTGCGTCGGGACTGCTGGAGGCTGCTGTCTGTGGAGCTGTATTGTACAGCAGGTTTCTGCTCTTAACAGAGTCCACTGAGGCACCCCAAGACCAAGATACCCCACCACCTACCCCAGCTCAGACACACAGGAGAACTGCTGGAGCCAGGCCCCATGACAGCTGCCTTTGACCTCAGCACCTGCCCAAGGTCACAGCCTCCCAGAGCCAGCACCATCCTGGCCGCCAGGGCAGCCTAGACCAGCTCACTCACCCCTGGGCGGCTACTCGCTCTCCTTGGCCACCCTTGGGGCCTTGGTCCATGTCCTAGGCCAAGGCCCGTGGTCAGTCTCTTTTTTTATATTGCAGAAAAGTTTTTATGTGAACTTTCTTACAGTTTGTAGGTATTTTTGATAATCCCAGTGCTGAGGAGAAATAAGGGGACATTGCTTCCCCCAGCAGCTGCCCTGTGATGGCTGGATCTGAAATCCTAGATGGGTCTAGCTTGATGTCTTTGCAGTTGCACCTGCGGGAAGAAATCACCCTCTCTTCTTTCTCCTCTTCTAGCTTTTTAAAAAGTCCTCACAGCAGTAGCGTTCCCCTGATTCTCTCCTTGGCCCTCACTCAGGCCCACAAGGGCCATCAGGCTCTCCTTAACATCTTGATGCCAGGCCTGCCCTCCTGCCCACTCTCCCATACCCGCCCACCCTATCCCCCAGAAGCTGATTCTTGAACTGGAAACAGGGGGCAAGGTAGACAGACCCTCACATTCCTGGCCTCCCGTGCTGGGAGCTCACAGCCGGTCTTGCTCTCCATGTCAGGTAAAGCAACAGTAGCCACTGGCCAAGAGCCTGGCCATCGAGGCCCTTTGTAAAATGGCACAGTGGCTTCTTGTTTAATCCTCACAACCCAGTTGTGAGGTGAGTAGTGATGGTTCCTGTTTTGCGAGTGAAGAAGCTGAGCCTCAGGGAAGCAAAGTGACCTGCCCATGGTCACTCGGTGGCAGCGCTGAGGCTCACCCCTGCTCTTGACGTTGAAGTGCTTGATGTTGCACTGCACCCCAACCCTTCTTCCCTGTTGCCACTGAGATGAAAAACCTTCAAGCCCGAATGTCTCCTCCCCTGCAGCCTTCAGGTCAGGCGAGGCAGGAGCCAGCGTGCTCAGCGGCACGTCCATGCCCCTTACCTACGCCTACCTGCATAGGGCACCCAGGTGACCCGGTCTCCCCTCCCAGCAGGCCTTGCATCATCTTGGCCCTGTGGAAGCTGCTGTGTGGGGTTTCTGCATCATCTCAGACCTCTGCCTGACCCCTGTGCCTCCAGCTGTCCTTGTCACCCGTGTGCCACTTTCCTCCCACCCCCAACACGTTCTGTAATAAAGTGGCACAGTAAGGGTGCCTTGCCTTTGAGTGGCGTGTTGTGCACTGGCAATGGGCCTGGCCAGTAGTCCAGGAAGCATGGCTGGACTGCCTGTGGACATTATTTTATCCATCCCTAGAGGGCTCCAGCAACATGCTTAAAGTAAAGGTGTGATAGGCCAGTAGAAGTTGTAAGAAAGGGGAGGAGAAAATGTGGTACTCTGTGTTGAGATTTTCTGAAGTTAAAGCTTTAGGTCGTTTTCCCAAGGCGTGCACTTCAGTGAAACCTGAGCGAGAGCTGAGGCAGGACTGAGGGGGAGTAGTGAGCAGGGTTACAGTCTTAAGCTGCCTGGCCCTGGGGTGTAAAGCAGGCCCCAGACGCAGACTTCTGCCTAGGGGGTATGGGGCAGTGGAGTGCCTCCCAAGTTGGGGACGCCATTCTCCCTCCTGCAAGAGCAGTTCAGAGGCGGGTAGCTGCGAGCAGCCCGCAGCGGCCGGGGAGGGCTACACTGGCAGGACCACGGGCACTGGCTGGGCACCAAGACAGCATCTATCAGCCACACCAGGGAGGACAGCTCAGCCGCCTGCAAAGCATGCCGTTGCCAGGACAGTGAAAACAATGATTAAAGCGACACTTTGCCATCCTGGAAAGAGGGCTAGGCCTGGAAGTCCAGCTTCATCATGTGCAAATCTGGTGGGGTCAGGCTGGACAAGCTCTGAGGTCTCCTTCCAGGACCAGCTACATAATGTGCCCCAGCCAGTGCAAAATGAAACCGAACTCCTGGTTAAAAAAAGACTAATTTCATGAGGGCAAGAGCTGAATGTTTAAAGCAAGGGCACTGAGTGCTGAGTGGGAGGGCCTGTGTGTGGGTGTAGGCTGTTGTCCAGGAAGCCAGGCTGTCCCAGCAGCTACCTGAAGGCTCTGAAACCAAAACCCTGCAGCCCCGGGGCCAGGCCCAGCAGCTGCGACCCGAGGGTAGAAGCAGGAATTGACCAGGCTTGATGCCATGGAGACCAGGGCTTTGAGCCAGAGGGGCGAATCTGGAATGAATGCGGTCACCCTCAATGCCTCTGGGGTCCTGCCCAATCATCTGCCCCTCTGACCAGCTCACAGATACTGCACCCGTGTGTGTGTGTGTGTGTGTGTGTGTGTGTGTGTGTGTGTGTGTGTGTGTGTGTGTGTGTGTGTGTGTGTGTATAGAAGGAAAGAGACCCACCAGAGGTCTTAGCCAGGAGCGTGACTGTGAAGGGGCACAAGGAAAATGCTAGGTGGGGGAGGATTCTGAATTTCTGCAGTACAGTGGGCATTGTGGGCACCACTAGATGTGGGGACCAAACATTGACACAGTCGGCCCTCGATTTCCAGATCTTTAGACCCGGCCTAAGCTAGGAGAGCAGCAAGCAGGGAGAGCGGCTGCGACACAGGCCAGCAGGACTCTGAGGTCTCCAGGCGGAGTCACGGTTTCCCCACCCACCCCGCCGGAGGGGGCGTGGCCTCGAGGGTGGGCGTGTCCGCTCCTCGCCACGAGCCCCACCCGCCGAGGCCACGCCCCTGCCCGGCGGCCTTCCCAAGCGTGCGGGGGCGTGGCCCGGCGCGCAGCGGCAGAGGACTGCTTCCGGGGGCGGGAGCGGAAGTGAGAGCGGTGGAGGATGGGCTGCCCGCGGCGGTAGGAGGGGCGGTGAGGTGAGTGAGTCCGGGAGCTCCAGTCTGAGGTGAGACAGGTCCGGGGCCGTCCCGGAGTTTGGACGCGGCCTCCCAGCCCGAGAAGACGCGTCCTAGCGACAGGCGCTGCGCGGAGCCCGCGGTGGCCGTCCCGCGCCAGTTCTCGCGGGAGCTGCCGTTGTCCGCCTCGTTTGGCAGGGGGGGAAACTGAGTCCTCGAGGGCTGGCGCCTCGCTGGAGTCCGCCGGCGAACTGTGACAGAGCTACCCCGGAGGCTTCTGCCGCTCCTCGCGCTGTCTGGGGCCCATCCCCGGGCCTGAGGGTCCAAAGGCCGCCCGGGCCGGCGGCGAGAACTTGGCCGACCTTGGCCAGCCGCGGCGGGGGAGGGGAGGCGTGCCCGGGCCGGTCTCCGCGCGGCGCCCCTCGGAGCGGCTGCTGGGGCCGCGCGGGCTGCCGGTCCCGTCTGCTCGGCAAAGTTCCACGGAGCGCGGCGGCCTCCGCGGGCGCCCGGCCCTGGGGCGACGGGCCGGGCCCTGCTCTGGAGGAGCCCTCGGCCTCCTGCGGGAGACCGTGTAAACAGGTCATGACAACGGCCTGGAAAGGGGCCCTGGGAGCAAAGGGGCCCTGGGGGCGCAGCGGTGGTAGCCTACCCGCGGCTCGCTGGCTCTTGGGGGAGGGGCAGCGAGTCGGCGTTCGCCTTCGTTCATTTCTTAACTGAGCAACTGCTTAAGCGCTTTCTGAGAGTCAGGCAGGCCCCGGTGTGCCACAGTGGTCCCCGCCCCTCAGGCCAACTGCACGCTACGCCGTCACCCATGGAGAGGACTCCGATGGAAAGCAGGGTGCTGGGGGTGAGCAGCAGTGCACCTGACTGTCAGGGGAGGCGATGCTTGAGCTGAGCTCTGAAGAAGACAGACTGAGCTTGGTGAGGGCGCTGGGGTTTCAAGCAGAGGAGATGGTGTGCACAAGGGCCCAGTGGGCTGAGCGGGACTGAAGAGCCGGACTCCAGAGTGGCTGGAAGGCAAGAGGAAAGCAGGGCTGACTGGGATACAGGGCCACCCTGGGCAGCCTCTGCGGTGGTGAGTTGGATCTGGGGGCAGTAGAGGACAGGTTGGGCCTGGTTGTGGAGAGCCTTCGCCATCTGAGCCTGGATTTGGTCCTGTTTATGCTATCAAGCCAGTAGTGTTCTAAACATGGGAACATGCTGATAAGCAATGTGTTCCAGAAATATCCCTCTTGAGTGAGGATGAGGCCCAGTTGAGTCTTTAGAGGTAAATGCCGAGAGGACGTGACTAAAGTGACACAGGGAGGCACCAGTACATGTAACTTGGGGCAGGCAGGCATTCGGCACAGGGCCTGGTACAGCGGGGCTTCAGTCAAAGGTTTGAAGGTGCTGAGAGGTTTGAGCCATGCAGGAGGCAGCAGGACTGGACCATACTTCCGGCACTTTCTGCTGGGATGACCGCTGAGTGACCGCAGACAAGTCCTTTCTCCAGCTTCCCTTCCCAGGTGTATCATGAAGCCAGTGATACCGCCTTTCCCACATAGGAGCCCCTCCAGGTTACCAGAAAGAACTGCGCTGGTCAGTTCTGCCTGTTCACGGCCTCCCAGTGACTCCTGAGCCCCACGTTCCCAGTCCTCGTGACTGTCAGCCCCAGCCTACCTTTGCAGTCCATAACCTGTTCTTTACCGCGCTCACCTTCCTGCCCTCCACCTGTGCTATTGCTGTTTTTTCTTCCCGTCCCCTCTGAACTCGCTGTGGGACCTCGGAGCAGTGGGCTGGACTCACTTGGCCACCCCCCTGGCATGCTTCTCTCAAGCAGTGATTACCAGCCTCTGCTAGAATTAGACTCAATCCTGTCTTTTTTGTAGACAGTAAGTTCTTTGAGATCATAGCTTTCTTGCTTCTTTAGACCCTGCAGTGCCCAGCACAGGGCCTGGCACAGTATGGGTATTGTTATGTTTGGTGAACAAGGAATGGCGAGCTCACATGTGGGGCAGCTGTGAAGAATCAAGTCGGGCACCCCCCACCCACCTGCATTAAGCACTTTAAAATCCCATCTCACTGATCGGCCCCTTGGCAGCTCTTCATCTTTTTTAGAGAAGCCAGCATTCAGAAAGGTTAGGTGACTTGCCGAGGGCTACGGAGCCAGTAGATGGCAGAGCATAAACTTTGTCTCCCCCTGTGCCAGCAGACAGAGATTGGCTAAAGTTGGCTGTTCACTACTCTCCTGGCAGAGGCTCAGCAGCGCCCGATTGGGCAGCACATGTAGGGCAAGTGGAGGTGCTTGGGAGCGTGGCTGTGAGGCTTGTAGGTCTGGTGGTGGGCACCTGAGCATGGTGTGGGCCTGCGTAAGTGAGCACACCTGGGCCTGGAGGCGGAGGCTGTCACTCAGGGCCGGCAAGATGGCGGCAAAGACTGGCTAGGAAAGGGAGGCGACCTCGCCAGAGAATGCTCAGGAGTAGAGTTCGCCAGGGCCTGGGAGGCTTGGCAGCCTCCCTGCCTCACCAGCCTGCAGGCTCGCTCCACAGTTGCATAGAAAGAGCATCAAAGCCTGAAAAAGCTACTGTCCTTTACCTTTCTGCCCAAATCTGCCCTGTGCTCACGGCACATGCTGGGCTCTGGCATCTCATCTCCAAGTATGAATCCTGGGTTTGGGTTGTACCTGTGGTCCCGCCTTCCTGTGTGCTTTTTAGCTATCAAAGGGACCTATTTATACCTTTAGCAATTTTACCTCAAGAAACCTAAAGTTACAGGGAAGCTCCCAAGGTCCACCAACCTCACACAGCAAGCCTGGAACAGAACCTTTAAAGGCCTCAATTTAAGGGGCTCAGTAAGCCTTTCTCACTCTTGAAACAACAGAAATCTTGGTATTAGTCATGACTCTGCAGGGCCTGGTCTTGGGCGGCTTGTATAGCAGCCATTAAGTCCCTGTTGTGGGGATTGTTTCACAGGAAGAGAAGTCTGATGTTCCTTAAGATGGCCTGATATGAAGGAGTTACGCCTCCCGCCTCAAGCCCCCCAGAGCTGTCCTGTGGCCCCCTTGTCCCTCAAGTGCAGGAGCTGGTTGAAATGTCGGGAATGGAAGCCAATGTGGTAAGAGGCATTTTGGGGCATGGGGGTGGGGGTGGCCGGGGGAGGAGAACAAGTGCTGAACCTGCTGAAGTTCTGAGACACATGCTGACTGTACCTTGGCAGTAGCAGGTGTCCCCTGAGGTTGCTGGTCAAAGTGCAGGCTGTTGACAGAAAGTGCACTCGTAACTGAGACTCCCTGGGATTGAGGACTCAGTCTCCCTGCCTGAGAGAGGGGAAAGATGGGGACCAGTAGCCTCCAAGGTTGTAACTGTCCTTGTTTCTACTTTAGACCATCCCAATTTGGCAAAACAAGCCTCATGGGGCTGCTCGAAGTGTGGTGAGGAGGATCGGGACCAACCTACCACTGAAGCCATGCCCCCGAGCGTCCTTTGAGGTGAGTATGCAGAAAGGGAGAGTAGAGGCTTAGAATTTTGTCCAGAAATAGTAAATGCTTCTATAGAGCTTGGTCACAAAAACTTCTGATAAACCTGTGACCACACTTCCAGTTTGCCTGTAAATTATCTTAAATCTTTGACACTTGCTAAGTGACTCAGATTTCAGCAGGCTCCAGCAGTCCAGCTTATCAGAGTAACCCAAAGGCCCCTGATGGACCAGATGTCGACTAGCCATGGTTTTTGCTGAGGTGTTTGCCTGCAGTCCTGCTGGTGCAGTCTCTCTTAGTGCCGAGAGAGACTTAGTTAAGCTCTGCTTTTCCTCGTCAGCTCTACACTTGGTCCCTGTAGTGATTCCCTAAGGATATTACCGCCCATCCTCTACCTTCTGACCAAGTCCAGTCACACCTTGACTGGACTACTTCCATCTTAACCCCGTGTAAGGGCTACAAATAGCCACTCTGCAGTGAAGATTCTCTCTAAGCTTGGTCTCTGAGACCTGCTGCAGTGGAAAGCTAAGGAGCATTTATTAGCCCCAGCTGCCTCCCTCTAAGAATAATTATCAGTTCTAGGCCAGATACTTAAGGCTTGTTTGGGGAGCTGAGACAAGAGATACTTCAGCTTTCTGCCACACAGAGACAAATATATGCCTGAAAAGATGTGGGCCCAGGTAGAAAAAGAAATGAGCTTGTATATCAGATGCTGAGTTGTAAAGGAGTTGGATCTGAGTACCAGGGACTCAGTTAAAAATGGGACTAGAGGTGAGGAGGACCGGTGTCCCACAACCCAGATTGCCAGCTTTCCAGCAATGCCTGTGTAGGGTGAGGTGTGAGAGCTAAAGGAAAGTGTAGGTAGGGAGTGAGCAGGAACCTCAGTGGAGGTTGCCCCTGCATTTGGCTGCCACATTACCAGGCCTTTGGCCAGATTGCTACTGGGTAGACAGCCACGGGCAGAGGCTCCCACAGATTAGTACATGTGAGTGTTAGTAATAATTGCTGGTATGTAGTACGCCTTTATATGTGTCAACTCATTTCATGGACAGAAGCGGAGAAACCCTGGCTAATCAGGAAAGCCAGTGGACATTTCCCTAAATGGCCCATCTTAGCAGTAGCACCTGGTCAGTGGATTCCGCATCTGTAGCTGGAGCATCACTTCATTCCTGTGCGGCCCACGCTCCCCATCTAAAACCCAGCTCTGTCAACTCTGACCCACCCACCATCTGTAGCAGGAACTCTGGCTTTAATTCATGTTTAGGTGACTTTGAGAAATTATCCCTGGATAATTATAAAGAAATTGCCATTATTATTTATAGAACTCTTAACTGATTTATTTTTTTAATTTTACCCATATTAAAATATTAAGGAAAGGAAAATAAATTGCTTGTAATCACTCTTAACAACTATTAATGTTTCGGTGTTCCTTTCCATCTTTTTCCAGGTGCATGTTTTTGTTTGTAATTATAGCAAATAGATGACTGAACCCTAATCTTTCATTTAACATAGTGCCACTCAGACTCTGTTCCTTGGTGGTTCATTTTGGTTAAGGGGCTATTGAAAAGAATCCTATTATGATTTCCTTTAGTATAATTATCTTTTCATCTAAATCCTGAAATTGCTCAGTTTATTAAAATGTTGCTAGAACAGTTTGAATCCCAGTTAAGTTAAAGGTGTAAGGAGCTAGGCAGAAACTCCCTGTGGAATGTAACAGATTCTTGATGTCCTTGCATATGTATTCTTACAGCCTGAGATAAGGCGCTTTAGCGGCCATGCCTAATAAAAGGAAACTTGCTAATGCCTCTGAAAACCCCTGCACCTCTAGCCTGTGGTCAGTAACCTGTTTCTTAAAAGGCCAGATAGTATTTTAGACTGTGGGCTATAACAGGCCCCAGCCTTGCTGTAAGTCACTGTTTTGCTTGGCTATAGCAGCCTCATAACTGATCTTCCCCCCTCCCATCCATGTATACACAGCCACCGGAGTATAAGCTTTTGAAACTTAAAATTCCCAGTGATTCAGTACTAATCTTAGAATTAAAGCTCCTAATCCATTTTCCAGCCTCTACCAATTCCTGCCCATCCTGTTCCAGCTATGCCAGACTGTTTGTAATCCCACCAACTCTTGCTGATGATCATATACTCAAGCTGTTTCCACCCAACACCCTCTCCTCCCTGCCCTGAGAAGCCTTCCTAACACTCATTGGCGGGCCAGGTGCCCACTGTAGATGTTTTGTAGTCGTTGCCTCCTCATGATGACATTTGTTGATGAATTCTGCTTCCCCATAGACCCTGCCCAACATCTCTGACCTGTGTCTGAGGGATGTGCCCCCAGTCCCTACTCTGGCTGACATCGCCTGGATTGCTGCAGATGACGAGGAGACATACGCCCGGGTCAGGTAACTGAGGCAGTGGCTGGTCTGAGGGATGGAGAACTACTTCCCAGAGGAAGTGGCAAGCAACAGGGAGTGTGCTTTGTGAAAGGCTGCTGGCATTGAGAGCGCTTCGGGCTCAGAGTGGGAGCAGAACCTGGCTGTGAGAACTGAGATGACAGAATTGTAGCGGGGATACAGCAGCCAGCTGTCTGTGACCTACTCGTCTTTCCCGATCCAGGAGTGATACACGGCCCCTGAGGCACACGTGGAAGCCCAGCCCTCTGATTGTCATGCAGCGCAATGCCTCCGTGCCCAACCTGCGTGGGTCAGAAGAGAGGCTCCTGGCCTTGAAGAAGCCAGCCCTGCCAGCCCTAAGCCGCACCACAGAGCTTCAGGATGAGCTGAGTCACTTGCGAAGCCAGATTGCTAAGATAGTGGCAGCTGATGCAGGTAGGTCCCCAGCCAGGGCCAGCATAGACCAGGCTGTTCTTTTTCCTCTGGCTTTTGCACAGGACAGGGGCGAGGAAAATGGCGGTCCCTGGTAATTCAGGCCCAAAGTTTTGGGGTGCTCTGAAGCCTGACTGTCTTATAGCATTCCTTGGATTATTTCCACCAGCCACTTTGGGTTGATTAGTTTGGTTAGGAACAAAATCTTCACGTAGCCTGTAACCCCAAGCTAATTCCCTCCCTAAGCCACAAAAACCAACATCCTTTAAGTGTCTTTAAGTCTTCCATTAGTCTCAGTGGCTTTCCAATGTGAAATAAGCACTCCCCACCACAAAGCCCCCTTAAGCCCCTTTTCCATTTCCTTATCCTTTCTACCATAGACTACCTCTGTCCCTCCACCTTTTCTCCACCAGTCTGAGAAAAGACACCTTTGCTGTCTGCAGTTAAGGCAGAGCCACTGGAAATGGGTAGACCACCACCTTCACGTATTTCGTTCCCTGGTATGGCAATTGTATCGAGGAATCACACACATTTCTAACTTGTCATCAGTTAAGTTGTTGTTATCCAAAAGACAGCTGAGGTTTATGTGAAAGTAGTGTTTCTTAGAAACTGAGGACAATCTCTAAAGTTTGGGAAACTAAAAGGACTGTTGCCATTCTATTTTGGTTGCACAGTATTTCTTGCAGTCCCTATAGATGTTCCGAGGAGCAGTCAGAAGCACTACCCCCGTTAGAGCAAAGGACATTGTTGCTTTGGTCTGAACACAGGCTATCACCCTTAGCTCATTGAGGAATGGGGAATCTCAGAAGCCAAAGCCTTGATGGGTGGGTTGCTCTGTCCTAGACCACTGCTCAGAGCTGAGTGCTTCCACAGCTCTGAGATTGTGAGGGTCGGGTAGTGCAAGAGCCCTCTACCTGCTTTACAGCTGCCATCCTGGTTGTTCCCTGGGTGCCAGTGTGTCAGCCCCAGAAATAACTGACAGGCAGTAGGGAGAAGCGTTTCCTGCTGGATTTAGTCCCCGTCTCCATCCATGCCTATTGTTTTCTCTTTCAGCTTCGGCCTCATTAACGCCAGATTTCTTATCTCCAGGAAGTTCAAATGTCTCTTCTCCCTTACCTTGTTTTGGATCCTCATTCCACTCTACAACTTCCTTTGTCATTAGTGACATCACCGAGGAGACCGAGGTAGAGGTCCCTGAGCTTCCATCAGTCCCCCTGCTTTGTTCTGCCAGCCCTGAATGTTGCAAACCAGAACACAAAGCTACCTGCAGCTCGTCTGAAGAGGATGACTGCGTCTCTCTGTCCAAGGCCAGCAGCTTTGCAGATATGATGGGGATCCTGAAGGACTTTCACCGGATGAAGCAGAGCCAAGACCTGTAAGTATTCTGATAGAGTTCTGATGCTGTGTACTATATAAGTTGGCTGTGGCCAACAGTCTAGTGGACGGCACCTGCATAATAAGGCCTCAGTGGTAGCCATGTGTTACTTCATTCACAAAGCTTGTTACCTCGCTTGCTGGAGTCCTTGTCTGAGAAAAGAACCTTACATTTGATTGGGGTGATCCAACTGAGGTATTAGGCTAGAGCAGGGATTTTATAAGACTTGTCTACTCCCAACTCTGGACCACTGGGGGGACCATCATCACTTCATTTCTCATGCTGCTAGTTATAGTAACCCTATACTTCACCCTTCATTGTGTGCTACGTAACAATTTGGTATCTCAGATTGGTACTTTCTGGTGAAAGAGTTTCATGAAGTGGGGAGTTTCTAAATAGTGGGGCTCACTATATAAATCACTGACACAAATTTAGAGTTGAGAATAAGACTTTTGAAACTTCAGTGGTTCATAAGCCAGGCTGCTCATCAAAATTACTCCAATTTCTTAAAGATACACTAAAATAAAAACTCCATCCTCCACAAACAAGGAATAGAGTTCTTGGTGTTTCTGACAGGATTGTGAGGGAATCTGGGAAATACCTACCTTGAGAAATTTATGTAGAGCTCTAGCCAGAGGGACCCCCCCCTGCCCATCACCACTACCTTGCAGTGTTTCTCCAGACAACCACCTATAGGGGAGTACCCCAGGAGGTTGTCTAAAGGCCAGGTTATGCAGCTTTATTAATGAAGATAAATGCTATTTGGGGATCAGGGGCCCTCTCACAAGTGAGTTCTTAAAGGGAAGCTTGTTTGTTCAAGAATCGAGTTTTTTGTTAAGAGTTGTTTATGCATACAAGAACTGGGGTATAGGCCAGAGGTGTGAGGGAGTGAATGGAATCAACAGAAGGCAGTAAGCAGAATAGGCAGATCAACTGAAATACACTAAGAGGAGCAGCAGATAAGACAGGAGAGGTCTGCTGCACCATGTGGATCAGCTCCCTGGCTGGGGATCAAACTTTTGCAGTGGCTGGCGATAACTTAACAGCACTGAAACTTTAACCCCTATACCACCAGGGGAGCCCCAAAGTTTAGTAATCGTTCTTGGCTCATAACTAGCCTATCAACTAGTAAAACGCCTTTCACGGCCCTCCCTGGTGGTGCAGCGGGTTAAAGCACAGCACTAAGAAGCTTAAGCCACTTCCGCATGAGTTCGATCCCCGCCTGCCCTGGAGGTGACCACATGGTGTGGCAGACCTCTCCTGGCCCGCCCACTGCTCCCCTCAGCAGTGTACTTTGATCATCTGCCTGTTCTGCTCCCTACTCTGTCTCTGGTGAATCCTCTCACCCTCTACATCTCTGGCCTGTACCCCAGTATGTATGAATAAATAAATCTTTTTTTTAAAAAGTGCCTTTCACTAGAATTTTAAGCAGCTGTTTTCCAGATATCTAGGATACTGTTATGATGCACCAGGTATTATAGAACCTACCCCAATCTGGAGTTGATTTTTGTTCCCACAGGTACCTTACGACATAAATGTTTTACTATAAATAGTAGACTTCCTATTAAAGATCTCATAGCTCCCTGATGTAGCAAGGTACTGAGGATTTCTTACTTCCCTCCCTCTCTTTTTTCCCCAGAACTACAAAAGGTCAGAATAGCCAGGAGTCACTACTCACTTGCCCTGATGACCTGGGTAGTGAGATCTCAGCAGCAGGTGAAAACAAGTCTATGAGGCCAGCTCTTAACTGGGTGATGCTGCTTGACTTGGTTCATTTTTTCTGTAGCCATTCAGGAAGTAGCAAAACATCCTATAACCAACTAGTGGCTTCTGACTCTGGCTTCACAGCTTACTGGCTGAGTGACTAGGCAAATTGTATAACCTTTTTGTGCTTCAGTTTCCTCATGTGTAAAAGAATTCTATCTACTCACTTTACAGGATTGTTAGGATTAATAAAATAATGCATTCAAAGACCCAGAACACAGAATAAGTACTTAATAAGCTATTATTTTATCTCCAGGACTCGGAGTTTACTGAAGGAGGAAGACCCTGCCATTCTTATCTCTGAGGTCCTAAGGAAGAAGTTTGCTTTGAAGGAAGAAGATATCAGTAGAAAAGGAAACTGATAACACTCAGCTCTGCAAACTCAAGTCTCATGCTCCTGGAATTCCTTCAATAGCTGCCTTCCTCACCGCAGGTGTTTCCGCCTCTCTATTAGAAATCTTCTGCAACAGTCTTGCTGAAAACTGTAGAGCTTAGACTGAAAAAGATGAGCAGGATTATGTTTCCCACACATGAGACTCTAACAAACTAAAACCTGTTTGAGTTGAGACATTTGTTACAGATAAATGTGTTGGTTGGAATCTCTCAGCCTAAAGGGTGAGATAGAAATTTCTGGTTTTTCCTTACCCCTGTGTGAAAACTAGGTCCTAACGAATGACTTACTTCACTGCATTATCCCATAAATGGTCTCACTGGACACTTTGTGCTCAGCTATCACTCTCAGTGGCTTCCTTGCAGCAGAGCTGAGGGGAAGGGGCTATAACTGTTTTATGTACTTGTTCACAGGGCAGGGAAAATCTTACGCTGCTCCATCATACTTTGACCAATACCCAGCAATCACCCTCTTCCCTGTCCAACACCTAGGTGTAGTGGTAAGGCCACTGGAGCAGCTGGGAGGCCTGGCTATTTTTTTCTTAAATGTATTTTGTAATACTGTACAACCAAATCTACCCTCCAAGGCCCTGGGGCCTCATCCGTTCCACTCATTGAAAAAACTTTCTCTTTCATGGACTTCAGCTTAAGACCAGCAGGAAAGAGAAACGGAGGGAAGAGCATATCATCCTCCGGCCCTTGACTGCTGCTTTGGTTTGGGGCCAAGGTTTGTACCTGCCACACCATGCATGACTCAGATGCCCTCAGGTCCCGTTCTCTACAGTATGTATCCTGTGTGTTTGGGTTGAAGCACTACCTGACATTAAAGAAAGCACTTGGAGAGCTCTGCTGTGTCCATCTCTGAGTTGTGATCACCCAGTATATTCTGCCCCCAGCTATAAGACTGCTGTTAAAGATATACTGTTACAAACAAGTTCCTGCCTTCATAAGAGAAAACTTACCAAGGGAGCCTCTTGTCCATTTATGTAAAGATTCTGCCCTATGCTCTTAAAGCAGTTCCATCTTATAACTTGAAAGCTGTGTAAGCGCCTCTTCCATACCACACCTGCAACACGGGAAGCTGCCACCTGGTGGTGGCACATCAGGTAGAACACAGGTCAAATTAGATTCATGCTGAGATTGGGCCCAAGACAATGACAGCAGACTGTTAAAATGTTCCTTTTTCAAAAATAAAATTGGTAATGTTTTAATTACCATCAGAGCCAGCTTTGTAAACAGTCATTTATTTGGATTCAGTTTTACAAAGGGAGTTCTCTCCAACCTTGTAGAAGAGTGATCTAATCACATCTAGATTGCTGTATTTCTAGAGAGATGTTTAAACAGTGTATGAATTTAAAATAAAATTACCACAAAACCCTACCATCGTTCTACCTACCTCTCTGCCCCTGTACATCTGGGTCCAGGAGACTTGCCTCATCTCTCAGTTACCAGGAGTGATGGCCTAGGTTTAGGGTGTGTGGATAAGATTACTGCTAGGTTAAATACACATCCTTAAACACTGTCCCAGTCTTCCCCACCCACTCCCCCCGCCCTCCTAAATCTAAAGGGCAAAGCAGTAGCCCTTGTGCAAACTGAGTAATGGAGAGCTAAGTACCTGCCCTGCCTCACTGCTCACTATGGATCAGTCAGTGAACTTAACCACCATCTCTTCCTCAGGGCAAGACATAAGGCCAAATTGCCCTAAGAGGTGGCACCATCTAGCTTGTTTCCATGAAGAAAGCACTCAACGACAGCTTCATCCCATGCCTCCCTCTCACCCACACTTAACCACCCCAAGATATTTCCCTATATGTCAGTCATTCTAAGGTACTTTTAGAATGAAGCCTTCAAAAATGCATTCCGACTTGGTGCCTAATGACTTGATTACCTTCAGAATCCTGGGTAAAGAGCAAATCAGAATGTGGATTTAATTGAGTGGACATATCCTGGTGTTGAGCCTGAAGGTTGTCAGGAGACTGCCCGACGCCCTGAGTCTGGACGTTGGTTACATCTTGGAAAGGAGCTCTAGAATGATGAGCAATGACCCGCTGGCCCTGAGAATCCTCAGTGAAAAGCTGGCTCCAGCAGTCCCTATTGTTTTCACTGTCCCAGGTAAACCCAGAGATGGGACAAGGGCTTTGTTTTGCTGATTCTGTGTTTTCTCCACTCCAGGAGTCCCCATGTGTTGTAAGAACAGGGGCCTGCCTATTTTCTTTGATGGACATTTTTTCTACTTTCGTCCTGTCCAAAAGTTGATAGTCCTTGCACCTAGGAGGTATAATTTGTCTCTCCACACCCTGACAGTTCTTTTCCTTGTACCTATGAAGCCATTTCCTTTTCTGAGAAGACTCCATCTCTCCCTCCTTTTGGTCCAGAGCACAAGAACTTTCCAAATCTTGGGTGAAGGAACAAGCCAGTGAAGCTTTACTTTTCCCAGTACAGACTAAGGTGTCAGGCTCCGACAAAGGCAGCGCAGTCAAAAATGGGGTCCCCGTTCTGTGGTGGCCAGAAGCCTGGAGGGAATGAAGAGAAAGCCCAGGTTCGTGGATGTCCGCAGGGGTTGAAGTGGCCAGCGGGGTCCCTATGCCCTCGACTGGGTGATGTAGCTGATGCATAGCTTTAGCATCTTCGTTGTTCTGTCTCTCTCTAAGAGATGGAACGTTCCTCTTGTCACCACCATTTGTTTTTCCTGTTAAAATAGACATAAACAAATCACAATGTGCAGGAAGACTGCCCCGAGCAGGATTTCGTTGGCTCTGAACTCAGCATCAGTACTATTACTACTTAGTGCAGGGGTCTCCAGCACTACACTTACCTTGTAGTTGATCTTTCTAGCTTTCAAGCTCTGTTCTTTCCTGAATGACCTTTCTAACACAGATCTTATATTCCCTCAAATATATGTTTGCTTTCTGTGACCTATAACATGAAGCATGGTGCAATCAGACTGAGATCTATTTTCCCAGCTGAATTTTCATATGTGGGGTTTGCTTTAATAAAGGGTACATTAAGTTTTGTTTTTGTTGTTTATTATGGTTTCTGCTAAACAGTGACCCTGGCCAGATACATACTCCTGAACATTACCTTTGAGAAACATGCTCAACACAATATTTCTGTAAGACCTCCTCAAAGATTACATTAACCACTCAACTCCAAGACATATTCTGGTAGTGGTGTTAAATTCCCCTACCCCCCAAACATTTCATAAGAAAAGGAATAATAAAGGATGCCATTATCTGATAATAAAAGCAAAAATAATTTTAATTTTTAAAAAAAAGTTACTAGTGTTAACCTGTTCATTTTATCAGGCATGAAATGGGTCCTATTCTGCCTTATTCCCCTATTAAACTATAAGCACCGATTATCCAACAAGAATTATATGACAGAACTGTTTAGTAAGAGTTGTCAACTTTGAATTCAAGAACAAAGCATACCAGAATTTTGAAATAAAAGATGTCCGTGTTACTTCAAACAAAAATTCTAAGTTTGTGTTTGCAGCGTGTGTTGAGGGAGGGTACATTTTGAAGGTTTATGCAAAGCAAGCCTGGGTACTGCACCAAGAGTTAAGAACTCTCCTGCCAATAGCCTCTAAGTGGCAGGAACCGGCTCTCAGTCCCAGCCTGCTCTGAAGCAGGCGAGCAAAGAATTGCTAAAGTACGAAACACAAGCCAACTTTATGCCAACCTTTCAAGAATAAAGCATCTCTGAACCCTGATTAATTTGAGAAGCTTCATAGAAAAGTATCAATTGTCAGTCTTTTATAGACTATTCACTGTAGCCAGTCCAAGATATATACCTAATTAATGGCAGGGCAGCTTCCCAGTGCATCCCAATTCCCCAAGAATACCTTTCTTCACTGCTCTGTCGGGGAATACAGACACTTAATATTAGACTGAGCAAAGAGGCTGAGAAAATTATTATAAAAACATACAGGTAGGTAGCTAGATAAGATAGACAGTCAAGAGGGATGATTTCTTGTATAACCTCTTCTAGTAAGACAGCTAAATTTACCTTAGTGTCACTTCTCAAAAATGTACCAGTTTGAAAAAAATGCACACGTCTCTTTGCTCCATGGGAGCCCCCAGAATGGTCACCATACCTGACTGCAAAGTGAAGAAGGAAGCAATGTTGGTCTGCCGGATGCCTGCAGATGGAGTTGTTCTTTGAGTAAAGGAAATCTTAGGCTCTCTCTCTCCAGGAAACAGTGTTAGCAGTTTGGCGCCTGGCTTGACTAAATGTGTCTGAGAGTGGGAGAGAAAAAGAATAACACGATCTCTTACTATCGGAACGGTGGCCGAAAGGAGCAATTCAGTAAGCACCGGTGACACTCGGAGCCGCACTGGATCCGTGGATTCCACTCACGTCCCGGCCTCCAGGGAGTCTGTGCTGTACATCACCTTCTACCATCGCCTTCCACACTAATGGTGCTTGTTTTTCTCAGGACTCATGTCTTCCAACTACAGCCCAATCTTTCTGTCACCAGTGGAATACAGTAAGATGGCTAACCTAACAGGATTTGTTGAGAAACTTCAGGGACAGTGTTTGCTCACTCATACTGAAAGATGCTGACTCTATTCTGGCAGCAGTTGGCACATCTGCAATCGTGTTCATGGAGTGGTGGAGAGCAAGGCTCCAGTGTCACAATCACACCACCTGAATTCATTCAGTCACAACTCTGCCACTGCCACACGTGGCTGTGTGAGCCTCTGCAAGCTGCTTAATCTGTATCTCATCCTCCTGTTTGGGACATTAATAGTCCCTACCGCAGAGGGCAGCCGCTGAAGATCTGGTGAGTTAATTCACATGAACGGTGTCTACAGTCCTGGCACACGGGCGCACTCAGTCAGTCTGCCATTGTTAAGAGGGGGAGCAATGATGCACTTGCATTTCAGAGCCTTTATACCGCAGAGTGTGAAATGAACAGAGAAGTGTGGACAGTGATTTTTGTTAGCTAACTATAATCCCTCATTTAGTATGACTTGCTTTTATTTCCATTTGCTTGTATGGAATGACACAAAAGTAGGGAGAACAAGATTCAACTTGGCTGTGAAAGCCAAAGAAATGGGATTTGCCAATATTCATGCTGACACTGAGTCCTAATTACTAATTCTAACCTTAATGTGGCTTCATTTTTACACTTGAAAGCTAAAATGTAATTTTAAATGGTTAAAAGAAAGAAACACTCTCTTCAATACACATTATGACTTGTAGTATTGGTACAGTTCTTTCCCTTCCTTCATACAAAACTAGGGAACCAGTAAAGGTACGTAACTGACTCCAGACAGTGGGCAAAGGCACTGCTGGACTCTGATCCCTGTGACTAGGAGGAGCAAACACCGCGGGCAGCTGGCAGCTGGCAGCCCACAATGTACAGAGCACGCAGGCAGATCACTGCATTCTTGGAGAACTGATTCGAGAAAGAATGGAATTTGGGGAAGCTGAGAAGGGAGGATTTACAGCACAAAGAACTACATCCAGAAATCTACACAGGGAGTCCTGCAGTATATTAGTGAATACTAAGCTACACATGTGTTAGGAGGCACCCCATGAACTCAAAGAAATCCCAGGAACTGTTGAACAATTTCAACAGTTGAAATTGAACAATTTGGTGAGCGCAGAGAAGAACGATCTCTTGAATACCAGTAGCATTCAATGAAGTTCTTAGTATCACTCCTGAGCAGTAGCACTAAATTAGCTCCAGAGCAAAAGTTATTTCAAACCTGTCCTAACAAAGTTTAAAAGCAAGCACAGAAAGTAGCAAGCTGATTAGCAAGTAACTACTTACCAAAACAAATTTCAATATTCCTTAAAGACAAGAAAAAATCCCAATACCCAGCAATGTAGCACACATGTTTTGTACTGCTGTAAAAAATGACTGTGGTGTGAAGCAAATAAGAATCCATAATGGGGGAAGGAGTCAGGTACTAGAACAGACCCAGAAGTGTCAGGGAGGGCATGAGCAGACAATTTACAACTGTTACTATAAATATGCTCAAAGGTTTAAAGGAAAATGACAGAAATGAAATTCACTGGATGAACTTAATGCAAGATCAGACAAGGGGGAAAAAATAACAGTAAACCTGAAGACACAGCAACATAAACTGTCCAAAATGATCTGCTGAATATCAAGTACACATGTAATTACAGTTCAAAAATCAATGTGAAAAGGGGACAGAAATTACACTTGAAGAAATAATGGCCAAAATTGTTCCAATTTTGATGAAAACTACAAACTAAGTCCTTTTCAAAAATGGTGTGTACAAGTCTCCCACTGCACATCTTCGTACAGAGTGACCAGTGCGGGTGACCATGCTGCTCCCCTCCAAACCTCCTCTCGAGCGATGAGGTCCTGTTCCCTCTCCTCGGACCTGGGAAGACAGTGTGACTGCCTGACCATTAAAGTATGGTGGAAGTAACACCTCATGATTTCCAAAGCTAGGTCATTGCTCTCAGGATACTGTGCAAGCTGGCCACCACTGCTGCGAAGCCCAAGCAGGACCATGGCTCTCTAAATGTTATGGGAGACACATCCTCGATGTGTGATGCAATGTGAGCTGGTGTGTCCCGGAGTCAACTGCCAACAGGGATGTGAGTGCAGAAACTTCCCACACCAAGAAGCAACTCTCAGACTCTAAAAATTCAACTCAATTCTCACACTACCGACTGGAGAGAGCATCAGCTTCCACAGGTTAAGGATTCAGTTTTGGCACCGCCCTCCACCTGAGACTGGTCACAACTCCCAGGAAGTCCTTGCTATGGCCAACCAGC